GGGGCGGGGGGGAATCTGGTTTCTATTGAGAGGAAGGACAGGCAAGGGAGGGTGTTCAGCTCAGGGATGACACAAGGCCATTCCTGGGACCTGGAGACTGGAGGGGGTGCAGTACCAGAGCCCTGAGCCAATCAGCGCCAGGACACGCCCCCTGCCCACAGCTCCACCTTCCGACCCGAGGTCTTTGGGGCACAGGTGGGCCCGCACCCTGCCTCCCCTGCTCTTTGCCTCAGTCTCCCTCGCATCCGGTCCAGTCTCCGTGCGATTCCCACAGGAATTTCTCTAGAACACTAATCGGATCATATGACTCTCCTGCTTAAAACCTTTTCAATGGCTTCTCAGTGCACTCGGACTGAGTCCAAGCTCGGGCTGGAGTAGGAGGACTGGCCGCCTTGGCCTCCCTCCACCACACTGATCGCTTTTGATACCTCAGTCTAACACTTCCAATCTCCCTTCCCTCAAGTCACAACGTCTATTCCACATGCTGACCTCCTTGCTTAAAATTTCCTTTCCCATCACCTCCATTCCTGAATTCGTTCTTCTTTAAAAGAAGCAAAATAAAACAGGCTTTCAAGCCTTCAAAATATAAATGATAAAATAACACAAATCCTAACTGTATATCCAAAAGAACTGAAAACAGCTCTTCAAACAAAAACTTACAGACACATATTTATAACACTAGTCACAATAGCCAAAAGATAGAAAACCACTCAAATGTCTATCAACAGATAAACAAAACGTAGCACACAGGGGCCCTTCCTGTCTATGAGCTCTGCTTTGGTGCACTTACTGTAAGGAACTAGAGTATCCAAAGAGTTGGTATCTGTGAGAGTCCTGGAACCAATCCCCTATGGATACCAAAAGTGGGCTGTATTCACACAATGGAATAGTATTCAGTCACAAAAAGGAATGAATGAAGTACTGATACATGGTCAACGTGGATAAACCTTAATATCATTATGCTAACTGAAAGAAAATAGTCACTGAGGACCACACATTGTATGATTCCACTGATATTAAATGTCCGCAAGAGGCAAATCCATAGAGACAGAAAGCTGATTATTGGCTCACAGGAGTTGAGGGTAGAAGAGAGTAGGGAGTGACTGTTAATGGGGACAGAGTTTCTGTGGTTTCTGTTTGTGCTGATGAAAAAGTTCTGCAGCTAGAGAGTGGGGACAGCCATACAATATTGTGAATGTTCTTAGTGCCACTGAAAAATGTATGCTTCGAAATTGTATATTTTGTTATGTGTATTTTACGAAATAAAGTTCAAACACACAACTCATATTCTGACGTCAGCTTTGAAATAGACAGACCCACCTCTGAGATCTGTTTGTTTCTTTCATCTTAGACACAAGCCGTCCCCCAAATTTGGTTCTAATTATTTTAGAATTCCACTTCACATGTATACAGCCTTTAAAATACAGGATCCAATCAAATGCTTTTAAAAATCATTCTCCTGATCCACTATCATTTTTCCTCTTTGTGAACTCAAAATTCGTACTGAGACTCATTAACTTCGAGACTTGCTGATACCTCACTTTCATCCCATTTAAGAGGGTAAAATAATACATTACATACTTCATAAGGTAAGGGGGGTTAAGTGAGTTCCTATTTGTAAAACACAAGAGCAAACTATTACTTTTCATTTTATTTATTTTTATTATTCCCATTTCTTTCTCTTTTTTTAGTATATGAGACACATGCACATGATTTCAAATTCAAAAGTATAAAAAGCTGGGGTGTAGTAAGTTTCAGTCCTGGGAGTGAGACTATGTTGCCAATTTCTTCTTTTAGTTCTTCAGACACAATCAGCTGATAAATGAGCACAGATTTTTAGAACAGGCTGCAGGCTGTTCTCCACTTCTTTTTTTTTCCCCTCCTCTTCACGTTATCACTTGGAAACTTTCCATATTTTTATACAGCAAGCTTCTTGGTTCTTTTTTATGGGCACAGCATTCCACTGGGTGACGCAATCATGATTTATTACTCAAATTCCTGCTGATGGGCACTGAGATTGTTGCAGCCATTTGCAGCGATCTGCAACGCTGCCCCAATTAACCTGGTACAAACATCGTTTTGCACATTTCTGAGGAGATCGCTCCAAAGAAGAAATTCCTGGAATTGCTGGCTCATTGATACTGCTCCAAATTCTACTCACCCAGCCATGTACAAAAGGTCCTGTTTGTCCACACTCTAACCAACAATGTTTGGCATGAATTTAACCCTCAACAGCATCAAGCTGCAAGTACACTCCTGTGAAATGCCTTTTCTGCTCTACAGAAAAGCATCAAGTTGCAGGGACACTCCTGTGAAATGTCTTTTCTGTCCACATTAGGTTTTTGAAATGTGTTAGTGTTGCTTTCCTAGGCAGGTTTCAACTGAAACGTTGTTGCCTCCAGGAAGACTTCGGGGATCACCACCCTGCCAGTGAGAGCATATTCCCATACTTTTAGCCTTAGATCACACATCCCCCCCACCCTAGCGTCATCGATCTGTGTCTGTCTTGCTTTCCTCATCCCACCATGAGCTCCGTGGGTACAGAGTACAATGGCCTCTGTTTTGGCCACTGTCGTTCCAGCACCAAGGACAGAGCTAGCCCATAGTAGGTGCTCAATAAATATTGTTTGCTTTGCTTAGAATTGAGTAAATATCCGTACGTGTGGCAAAGTATATGCAGAGTTGGCCTGTAGTAGGTGCTCATAAAATACTGGTCGCTTAGGATTGAATTAATATATTCAGGTACTTATGACAAAGTAGGAAACTTAGGCTCAGAGTGCATGAGTTGCTTGCTTTGGTAGGCAAGTGAAGGCTAAGGCCAGGTTCTAATCCAGAGTGCCGGTACTTTCTGAAGCCCCCGTCGTTGCTTGATTCATCTCCCTCCCCAGACATCCCCTCAACCCCCACCCAACTAACAAACACAGTGCCTGGCACAGACAGGACTTGATAAATGCGTGTTTGTTGAAGGAATGAATCAATGTGTGTGTCTGTTGAGGAGTTGGGGGGGGGCGGCTGGACCCAGCGTCCCAGTCCCCCAGCCCCCTCGTCACTCGGAGCCTAAAAGACAGACCTCCGGCCCCCTTTCCTCACAGGACCCAGGAGTCCAAGCCGCCCTCCCTCTCCGCCCTCTGGGTCCCCCGGTCCTCCCGCTTCCGGCTTCCCAGCCAGTCTTTCCTCTTTCAGGCTCCGAGGAAAAGACGGGTTTCCGGGGGGAAGGCTTAGGCAGTGACACCGAGCCCAGCCTCCTCCTCCACCCCCCCAGCACGCTCGGACCCCCCTCCCTCGCCGCCGCCACCGTCCGTGATCGGCTGGCCGCGGGGAAGGAAGAAAGGAGCGAAGGAAGCGGAGGTAAGAGCCCGGTGCCCGGCGACTAGGGCAGAACCCCAGGCCGTGGGCTAAGAAAGCCTCAAGGCCTCGACCCACGGCCCCAGTTCTGCTGACCATGACTGCGGGGACCAGCAGGCAGGCTCGGCCCGAAGAAATTGTCCCCTCCCGGACCCAGGGACCCCCAGCCACGGCGCCTTTCCCTCGCCCGCACCCCCAGCCCCGAGGTCCACCCCTCAGCCTCTCCTCCTTGGAGATCCCAGCAGCTGAGTCTTCGGGCCCCTCCTCTCCCTTGTCTGAGGAGCCCAGCCCCCTCCCCAGCCCCTTCCTCCACCAGGACCCGGCAATCCATCCATACCACCTACAATCCCCAGCCCAGCTGCCTCCATCCCGTCCAGTCCCAGACCCAGAAGTCCCAACCCTCAGCCCACTCCTCTCTCAGCCCCCTCCTTGCTTAGGAGTCTGAACCTTCCTACTCCCTAGCCTCTCCCAGCCCCTGGCGTCTGGGCACACATCCCATTTCTGGGGCCTCCGGGCTTCAAATCCCACTCCCTCCATTGGGGCCCCACGGGCTGGTTCCTAACCCCTCCCAAACGTTCAACTCCAGGGGCCCTGGAGCAAAAGCAGTTGGCTGACTTTGTCTTCCTCCATGTCTCCTCCTCTGTCTCTCTGTCCTATTTCCTCTATGTGTCTCTCCATGTCTCTCTATCACCACCTGATCACGGTTTTCATTCTCTCTGCCTCTGGGACTCAAAATCTGTCTCTGCTGGGTGTTGCCCCTCTACCCTCCACCTTTGACCATCCTGTCACCATTTCTACTTCTCTGTGTCTCTTATCTCTCTTTTCCTGATTCTGTCTTATTCTCTATATCTGATCACTCTCTCCACTGTCCCTCTCTCTCTTCTCTATTGTGTCTCTCACGTTGCCTCTGTGTCTCCTCTCTCTGTTTCCCACACCCAACACATCTCCCTTTATTTCTGTCCCCGCTTCTCTCCCCTTTCTCCTCACAGGCATGGATCCGCAGCCTCCTCCACCTGCCCAGGGGAGCCCACCTCATCGGGGCCGGGGCCGCGGCCGGGGCCGGGGCCGTGGTCGAGGCCGAGGTCGTGGCAGGGGGGGCGCTGGAGCCCCTCGGGCGCCCTTGCCCTGCCCCACCTGTGGCCGCCTCTTCCGCTTCCCCTACTACCTCTCCCGGCACCGGCTGAGCCACTCAGGCCTGAGGCCCCACGCCTGCCCCCTCTGCCCCAAGGCATTCCGCCGGCCTGCCCACCTCTCTCGACACCTGCGTGGCCACGGGCCTCAGCCCCCGCTGCGCTGTGCTGCCTGCCCGCGCACTTTCCCTGAGCCTGCCCAGCTCAGGCGCCACCTGGCCCAGGAGCACGCAGGTGGAGAGGTCGAGCTGGCTATTGAGAGGGTGGCCAAGGAGGCAGCCGAGTCCAGCTGGGGTTCACAGGACGAGGGCGTGGAACAGCCTAACACAGCAGCAGCAGGGTCTGCGGAGGAAGAGGAGGTGGCGGCCACGTGGCCCCAGACATGCCCTGCAGGAGAGCCAGCCCCGCTGGCGGCCCCCACGAGTGCCACCGCGCCCCGGGAGTCAGAGTCAGAAGAGGCCGCGGCTGGGGCCGCAGAGCTGAGGGCCGAGCTGGCGCTGGCAGCTGGGCGGCAGGAGGAGAAGCAGGTCCTGCTCCAGGCCGACTGGACGCTGCTGTGTCTCCGCTGCCGCGAAGCCTTTGCCACCAAGGGCGAGCTGAAAGCGCACCCCTGTCTGCGCCCAGAAGGCGAACAGGAAGGTGAAGGGGGGCCCCCACCACGCCCCAAACGACACCAGTGCTCTATCTGCCTCAAGGCTTTTGCCAGGCCCTGGTCCCTGTCCCGCCACCGGCTGGTCCACTCCACCGACCGCCCTTTCGTTTGCCCAGACTGCGGCCTGGCCTTCCGCCTCGCCTCCTACCTCCGCCAGCACCGCCGCGTCCATGGTGCACTCAGCCTGCTGGCCCCGCTGCCCGCAGCCGGCAAGAAGGACGACAAAGCTTCTGGTGGACGGAACTCAGGGAAGGGGCCAGATGGGGGTGAAGGGGCTGAACGCGGGGGTGCCTCAGAAGGGGGAGAAGGCGGGCAGAACGGAGGGGACGCCACCCCAGCCCGGCCCCCAGCCGGGGAGCCCCGCTTCTGGTGCCCTGAGTGTGGCAAAGGCTTCCGGCGCCGGGCACACCTACGGCAGCATGGAGTAACACACTCAGGGGCGCGCCCCTTCCAGTGTGTGCGCTGCCAGCGAGAGTTTAAGCGGCTGGCAGACCTGGCCCGCCATGCTCAGGTGCATGCCGGGGGCCCGGCCCCGCATCCGTGTCCACGCTGCCCACGGCGCTTCTCACGAGCCTACAGCCTTCTGCGCCACCAGCGCTGTCACCGCGCTGAGTTGGAAAGGGCTGCAGCCCTGCAGGCGCTGCAGGCCCAGGCCCAGCCATCGCCACCACCACCACCACTGCCCACGCAGGTAGAGCAGGAGGAAGAAGGGCTCCCACTGCCCGTTCTACACATCAAGGAAGAGCCACCCTCTCCGGGGACCCCACCCCAGCCCCCACCGGCTCCCCCTGTTTTCCTCAGCGCCTCTTGTTTCGACAGCCAAGATCACTCAGCCTTCGAAATGGAGGAAGAAGAGGTAGACAGCAAAGCTCACCTGCGCGGTCTCGGGGGCCTGGCCTCCTGACCCTCCACACACCCTCTGCCACTCAGTTTGAGACCCCAGTTTTGCAATATGGAGGAGGGAAGTTGAAGGCGAGGCACCTCTTCTGTCTACACACCCCTCCCTTTCAAGCCCTTGACACTAAGGGGGAGGGGGGCCTGGACCACCCCTCCCGCCCCAACCCCTCCCCCGCCCCATGCTGGTTAGGAACTGCTCACCCCAACACGTCTTGAAGCAGTACTGTGGAAAAGGAGGCACAGGACAATTGGCCAGAGGTAGGGAGCCTGGTGGGGACACACGCCACCTGCCTTTCCCAACTAAACACACTGGACACCATCATCTCTTTGGAACTGCCAGACCCTTGGGGTCCCCAGTGTGCAAAGGTCTGTCCTTGTCCCTTTGTCTGTGAATAAATGTGAGTTTGTGAAACCCGAGAGAGTGTGGCTGCCTGTGGAGATGGGGTGCTGGTGGAGAGGGTCTGGGGTGAGTCTGGATTTGTCCAACAGACTCTGAGCTCTGGTTCAGAGCAGGAAGGACACAGCCCCTCACATCAGGAGGCACAGGTCCCCTAAGCAAGCATGAAGCTCATGACTATTGATGTGAGAAGAAACAAAAGACAGTCCGGGATCTCTGACTCTCGTTCCATAAAGGTCTGCCACACCCTCACTCTGTGTCTCTCCTGGTGCTAGGACCCTGCCATACTGAGGAGTGAAAGTCCTTCTCTTCCCCTGGAGAAGCTGGAGTTCTGGTGCTGCAGCTGCACTGTCGGAGAGAACTTTTTGTGATGATAGAATGTTCTAGATCTTGGCTGCCCAGTTTGGTATCCACCAGTCATACATAGCTATTTCCATTTAAATTTAGAATAAGTTGCTAAACTGCAAATAATTAAAATGAAAACAAAAGTCAAAGTTAGGTTCCTTGGTGATACTGTTGTAAGAGCCCAAAGGCTCCAAGTGACTGACAGCTGCGATACTGACAGCAGGTCTAGAACATTGCATCCAAAGTTTTGAATAGTGCTGCTCTAGATCGTAAGCAGCTATGCAGTGTAACATCAGGTATTAAAGATGCTACCTAGAAAAAAACCTTGGGACACTGTGATGGCAGAGCAACATCAGGTGGTCAGAGTTTCTCTGGCAATGTAATGTTTGACTTGACAGAAGGACCCGGGCTTGGGAAGGAATTTCTGTGAGAAGAGCACAGGGAAGGCCCCAGTCAGAGGGGCCAACGGGGGCAAAGGCTGGGGAGCAGGAAGATGTCACACATTTGAAAAACTGCAAGTGATTGGGAGTAGGTTGGGAAGTTTCACTTTCTATAAATCCTCCAAGTGTTTTTAGTTTTTTTGTTTGTGTGTTTGTTTTTATCCTTTTTGTAGGCACCAGTAGTGGAGAGGAGAAGGATATCTCCCAACCAATCTTCCTTAAACCACTTTCTCTTTCCTTGTCTTGACATCCTGCCTTCTCCCACCACCTTCCCTGGCTCTCTGTTGCCTAGTCAAGTAATAACACTGACCACTTAGGTGTCTTCACACCTGCAAGAGCAGGGAAAGGTTAGAGCACCCCTGTTTTTCAGGACACCAAACTGAGCCTCCAGGAGGGAAGATGTTCTCCCCATATGACAACACCACCAGATGGATCAAAGAGGGGGAAGGAGTCTGGGAAGATGGTGGATGAGGGTCAGGATGGCCAGATGATGACTAGCCAAAGCTTCAGAGAATTCCCTCATCCCTGAGTTAACACATCCTTGAGGAGGACTTGGTACAGTGCCAGCGTGTAGTTAAGTGTCATTATGTGTCAGCTCATTTGACCATCACTGTGTTGGACTCCAGTGCTGGAGGTTGGGAATGGAGTGTGAAATGAGACCACCTGGACACCTGCCCTTGTGAAGCTGATAGAACAGCTCAGGAAATGGACAGCAATCAAATATTGGGGGCAAATAAATCGAGCTACCCAATCAGACCAGTTCCCCAAAGAAGTAGAGCCTATGAAAAACTATCAATGAATCTCAAATTTTGGGAAGATGGGAGTTTGGGGTATGCTTTTATTATCTCAAAGCCACTCCCTCTTCAGGAGCTCTCAGTGGCTCTCTGCTACCCATGTGTAAATGTAGACCCTTACTGAGTGAGAGCCTGCCATGATTAGACACAGGATTACAATGTCATGAACAAAAACTATCAAAGGAGAGAAGTATATAGCCCCGTTTATGGAAGGGACAAATGTAAAGAGAAGTCTATGCATTGAGCCCCTCCTCTTAAATGAGTTTGTGAAAAGGGCTAAAGACAGTGCTTGGTTTCTGATAAGAAGTTGCTGCTGGCTCTGCTCCTATAGCTCAACCGGCTAAGCCGCCAGCCACGTACACCTAAGGTGGC